CCAGCACAAAAATATAATCATGAATAGCCAAGACAATATGTCTCCAACAGAACCCAGTAACCATGCTACAACAGATCCTGAAAATGCAATACAACTGAACCACGGACAATAGTATCAGAAATAGATAATATGAACTTGATGAAGGATCCTAAAGAGGATATGAAAAACTCATTTCATGAAGTATTTGAAAAGATAACAAACAGTGGAATAACAGGAAGAAAAACATCAAGACATGCAAGTAGAAAGAAAATTACTAAGGAAAACACAAACTGAAATAAAACTGGAAATTTATAACTTAAAAAGTCAAGCCAAAATCTCAAAGATAAGCTTCAAGAAAGCACAAAACATAGAAGAGGGAATGTCAGGTATTACATCAAAGTAAACGAAAAGGACACCTTGAGGGGAAGTATCCTTTATGATAGCACGGGTAAATTATGGATACTGATTCCATCATAAAGTGTGTATCCATGCAGCAGACCGTGCTATCCATACCCAGGACACCAATAACCTCTGTAGCTCTGACTGACTGGGAACTCACTATGTAGCCCATCCTACTCACGGACAGAGATGGATCTCTGCTAGATCCAAACAGCATGGAGAAAGAGCATTGCCTGTTCTTCCAAAGGTACTGAGTTCAATTCCCAGCAACCACATGGTGGCTCACAACCATCTGTAAAGAGGTCTGGTGCCCTCTTCTGGCCTGCAGACATGCACACAGACAGAATATTGTATGCATAATAAATAAATTTAAAAAAAAAAGAAAAGAAAAACTAAACTGGGGAATGCTGGAGTTAAATAATGCCATAAATCCATCTTCCCTGTGCTGTTTAAGGATGCAGTGCAGACGCCTGGGCTGAGGATGTAGACCTCCATGTGAATTTGGCCATGAATGTTGGCAAGGCCCGAGGCTTCTTCAAGAAGGGAGATGTGGTCATTGTGCTGATTGGGTGGGGTCCTGGCTCTGGCTTCACCAATACCATGCATGTAGTGCCTGTGCCTTGATGGCCCTCTGGAGCCCATCTTCTAGCCCCTGTCCCATCCCCTCCCCCATCCCATCCATTAGGCCAGCAACGGTTGTAGTGCTCACTCTGGGCCAGAGTGTGGCGCTGGTGAGCTGGGACACCCGGGAAAATTACTGTCACCGAAACATGGAATAGAGCCCAGCTGTCTGTCTGGCCCTACCCAAGCCAGGGGTAACAGAGGAATGCAGAATTGGAAACCCTCTGGCTTTATCACAAAAGGGCAGCAACATCTCTGTGTACTTTGCTTCTGTAGAAAGTTGCCCAGAGAACTCCCAGCCCTGGCCTGGAGTCAGGAGACAGCAAGAGAAGGGGCTTAAGGCATGGGGCCCAGGTTCCTGTGTAGATAATTACCTCTGGCCCCCAGGCCGGACTTTTCTTCCCCAACAGCTTTGGCCTCCCCCACTGCTCCTTGCGCACTTCTCAGTTGTCACTGCAGTCACACCCTGCACTCGCCAATTCCATTCTACTGTGCAGCATCTCCAGGCTGTTGCTATAGAGCCCACCTGAGTGTCAATAAACAGCAGGTAATGCAAAATAATAATAATAATAATAATAATAATAATAATGATAATAATAAACAATGCCATAAATCAAATGGAACTAGCAGATGTCTACAGATTATTTCATTCAAACACTAAAGAACATATTTTCTGCTATAATCTCATGGAACATTCTCCAAAATTGATAGCATACTAGGCCATAGGAAAAGTCTCAAAAAATATTAGAAAATTGAAATAAAATCCTGTATTATATTTGACCACCATGGCTTTAACTGGCTATCAACAGCAGCATAAACTATACAAAATCACGAAAACTGAAAAACTCAGTACAGAATGAAAAATGGGTCAAAACCAAAATCAACTTAACACTAAAATATTTTTGAATTGAATGAAAATGAAAACACACCATATCCAAAACTATGGAACACAATTCAGGGAATTTGAAGGGACAAGATCACAGCACTGACTGCCTACCTAAAAAAAAAAAAAAAAAAAAGAGTTCTCATATTTGAACTTAGAAGCACAACTGAAATCTCTAGAAAAAGGTTAATTAGTACCCCAAAAGAATAAATGGAAAGAAGTAAACTGAGGTCTTAAATCACTGCACTAGAAACAACAAAAATAATTACAAAAATCAACAATAAACAGAGTTGGTTCTTGAAGCCTGAAGAAAATCAACAAGATTTAAGAATTACAAAGCCTTTTCAAAATCATCGAAGACAAAGACAGAAAATTTGGGATAACTCTAACCAAGAAAGTGAAAGACTTGTATAATAAAAACTGGCAATTAATGGAAAATTAAAGAGGAAATCAGAAGATGCAATAATCTCCCATGCTCATTGATCAGTAGGATTAATGTTGTAAAATGGCTATTCCACCAATAGCAATTATTAATAAAAATAATAAATCAACAATGTTGTATATATTCTGAATTTCTTTGTTTCCATACAAAGTTGGAGATTTTTATTTCAATTTCTGTGAAGAATTGTATTAGAATTTTGATGGTGATTGTGTTGAATATATAATATACACTGGAGAAAAGACAGCATCTTCAACAAATGGTGCCAATATAACTGGATGCCTGTGTGGATCAAGGACATAAATACAAGATCTGAAATTCTGAATCTGACAGAAGAGAAAGTGGAGAAATAGTCTTGAAGTCATTGGCACGGAGAAAGACTTTCTGAACAGAACACTGATAGCAGAGGCATTAAGACCAATGATTAATAAATGGGACCTCATGAAGCTGAGAGATTTCTATATGGTAAAGGACATTATCATTTGGGCAAAGCAGCAGCCTATAGAGTGGGAAATCTCTGTATCAATTAGACATCTGATGGATGATTAATATCTAAAATATATAAATTAAAAGCTGAATATCAAATAAACAAATAATTCAATTCAAACTTGGGATAGAGAACTAAGCACAGAACCCTCAAGAAAATGAAACAGAAATGGCTGAGAAACCTTTAAAGACATGTGCAACATCTTTAGCCACCAGGGAAATGCAAATTAAAAGGACTTTGAGAATTCCTCTTATACCAGCCAGAATGGCCAATATCAATAAAATAGAGCATGCGCTGTCAATGATGTAGAGAAAAGGTGACACTTATTTATTGCTAGTGGGAATAAACCTTCTCTAGCCACTGTGGTTCCCAAGGAAGCTAGAAACCAATCTACTTCAAGATCTAGCTAAGCCATTCTTGTGTATATATCTCAAATATGAAAATACTTGCTGATTTATGTTTAATGCTGCTCTGTTCATCATAGCTAGAAACTGGTAACAGCCTAGATGTCCACCAACTGATGAATGGATAGTGAAAATGTGATACATTTAGACAATGGAATATTATTCAACTATTAAAAATCATAAAATTCTCAGGTAAATGCATAGAGCTAGAAAACATCGTCTCAACTGAGGTAACATAGATCCTAAAAGACATCGTATTATTTCTCTCATATGTAGATGTTAGCTTTTAAGCTTTCAATATATGTGTTATTTGCAAATAACCACAGAGGTTGGATACCAAGTAAAGGACTGGGGGAATGAGATTCCCTGGAGGAATAAAAGATAGAATATGTTGTTGTGGAGAGATAGGGATACTAGGAGAATTAAAATGGGAGGAGATGGGAGAAAAGGGTAAAGGAGGGACTATGGGGAGGACAACTAACACTAAAGGACGTTTGAGAAACCAACGTGGAAACCTACTACTGTAGAAGATTCCTAAAACACATGCATGATTGAAAGTAATCTAAATGGTGTTACCAAATAACAGCGGAGACAACTGGACATCTTATGCCACCAAGTAAACCCTCCAGTGCCAGAAATGGGTGATACCTTACTGAGATTTTGGCCAAAGAGACCCCATGGAAACCCCCAAATATATTAGGTAATTTCCAATGCCAGTGATTACTTTCCATAAACTGATAGGAAGGCTCTATTGCTGAAAATAACATTCACTTTTATCATTTAATATGGAATAGCTGAGTTAGTGCCTAATTAGAAATTTTGCCTTTATTGATTAGCCGTCATGATAGTAGAAGCTATTCTGCTTGATACCAAAAGATAAAGGTAATCAGCAATATTACCAAACTAAACCTGTGACTTACAACAGCAAGACATTCTAGTTTAATAGAGGCACAAATGTTATGGGAGCAACCAGCCACTTTGTGATTCCATGAGATAAAGCTCAGACCTACACTGACAAAGTGGCTTAGAACCCCAAACTGGTATGTCACTGTCTTGGGGGATGCCTGCTATTATTATTCTGATAAAGGGACATAGCGATAAAATGTCTCTTAATGGCACCTTGCCCAATCCACATCAGAGAAGCTTCTTCTTCTAGTAGATGGGAAACCCCCAAGTGCACAATGTGTAGAAAGTGACAGACATTGGGGCATTGAGTCCTAAATGGGATGTTTTGATTGAACCCCTCCCCACAAGGCTCAGGGAGTTGTGAGGAGAGGAGGCAGAAAACCTGTAGGAGCCAGAGGTGATGCATGACTCCAAGGAAAGAGTGACTTCCAGGCACAGAAGGACTGATGTACATATGAACTCATGTAGACTGTGGCAGCAAATACAGGATTTGCACAGGTTCAATCCTGTAGTCGTAGGACTGCGAGGGGAAAGTGTTGATATAATTCTTTGAAACTTTCATGTATGCATATAACATATTTTGGACATATTCACCCACGCCAACCCTCTCAACTTTTTTTTTATATATATATAATTCACTGGGTTCAATTTCTGCTGCCAGTATAGGGACTGGAGTTGGGCATCCACTGAGACATGGTTGACCAAAGGGGTTCCAATTCTCAAACTGACTCTCTTTCCCTGAAGAGATCAACTGTCAACAGCTCCTCAGAAGCCCCGCCCCCAGAAGGGGCGTTCCTGGGGGGGCAGCTGTCTACTCAAGGTCCACAGGCAGCGCATGCGCGGGTGGGCGGGGCTGTATGCAGGGGGCGTCAAGGAGACCCCTGTTAAGCTTCTGGGCTCCTTCAACATCAGGGAGCCTCAACCTCTCCCCAGCCGCCTCCAAGGAGCTGCCGCCTATTGTCGGTCACCGCCTAGGCGTGGAGCTGCTCGGACTTGGCCGCCAGTGAGCCCGGGGAGCCGACCGGTGAGGGCTCAACTTAGTTGAGGGAAGTCTGAACGTGAGGAGCGGTCGCGCGCAATGGCGTCTCTGCCTCGGTTGCCCGCAGCCACGCGCGAGATACAGGACCCGGGTCAGGCGAGAGCAACGCGTGTGGTGGACCCTTCTCCCTAGCATCCGTGGCCAGCGGTGGGTGGCGCGGCCACTGATCCCAGCCTCCATGGATGCGCATTCTCCTGCTACCAGCTTCAGTGGTTCCTGCTGGGACTTTCCTCTGAAGGACAGCTGCTCGGCGTGGACATCGCAGGAAAGAGCTCCCTGGTACAGTGGATCAGTCAGGTAAGCACTGCCTGCACTGGCAGTCTTAGGGCATTTTCCCACGCTTTCTCTGTGGGAGGGGGCGTGACCAATGCTCAGAAAACTGCATTAAGATCCTCAGCTGGGGCCCTAGTGAATACCCAGCTAGTAGCTGCTTTTGGTAAATAGAACTGTAGGGATGCATGAAACGATGTAGAAAACCCTGTTTTTTTCTAGTTGAGAAACTGTCTACCCCCATTCCCCCCCATCTTGCCTCTGAAAGATTGGGTCACGCAGAGTTTTCAGACCCTACTGTGAATTCAGGAATTCACAATGAAAATTGGATTTTAGTGTTCAGTCTTTGCTTTTCTACTTCATAATGAAGCTGTTTTGAGAGTTCATTGCCAAAGTGATGTATCTTTTTTTTTTTTTTTTTTTTTTTTTGCTTACCACTGTCACTCCCTTATCCTCCCTATTTATTTCCAGAAGTCGCTCATTCATGTTTTTAAACCATTCCATTTTCCGGGTCTGGAGAAGTGCTCCAGCTTTTGAAAGGTCATTGTCTGTACAAGCGTCCTCATGAGCCGGGATGACTCTGATATAAATTGGTGTCATTTTGTACACCTTCATTTCTTGGGGATTTACAGACTGCATTAAGCACGTGCCTTCTTAAGTTTGGGTACATTCATTCCCCTGCACCTGTTGACTGGAGTTATGCTGTGATGATGATTGTTTTAATTCCCGAAGTGGATCTAGCTGAAGTATCCTGTCATTCATATTGAAACAAAATGGTCATGTCATTTCATGTTAATTTCAGTTGCATCTCTTTGGTATCTGTTAAAGTTTTTTTTGAAAAATACTGCAAATGTTATTTTGATTTCTTTTCTTTTTTTATTTTTCCATTCAAAAATTTCCACTTCCTCCCCTCCTCCCATTCCCCTCATGCTCCTCCACTCACTCTCCTCCCTTCCCCTCCAGTCTTTTACTTTTTGAAAAAAAATTTCCGCCTCCTCCCCTCCTCCCATTTCGCTCCCCCTCCTCCAACTCCTCTTCCCCTCCCCCAACTCCATTCCCCCTCCCTCTCGAGTCTGAAGAGTAGTCTGGATTCCCTGCCCTGTGGGAAGTCCCAGGTTCTTCCCCCTCCATCCAGATCCAGGAAGGTGAGCATCCAAACAGGCTAGGCTCCCACAAAGACAGTTCATGCAGTAGCATCAAAACCTAGTGCCATTGTCCATGGCTTCCACAGCCCTCATTGTCCTCCTTGCTCAGAGAGCCTGGTTTTAGCCCATGCTTATTCAGTCCCATTCCAGCTAGCCTTGGTGAGCTCCCAATAGATCAGCCCCACAGTCACAGTGAGTGGGTGCACCCCTCGCAGTCCTGACTTCCTTGCTCATGTTCTCCCTCTTTTTGCTCCTCATTTGGACCTTGGGAGATCAGTCCCGTGCTCCAATGTGGGTCTCTGTCTCTACCTTCATCCATCGGCAGATGAAGGTTCTATGGTGATATGCAAGATATTCATGAGTATGGCTATAGGATAGGGTCATTTCAAGTTCCCTCTCCTCACTTGCCCAAGGTAGTAGCTGGGGACATCACCCTGGACACCTGGGAGTCCCTCTAGAGTAAAGTCTCTTGCCAACCCTAAGATGGCTCCCTTAATTAAGATATATACTTCCCTGCTCCCATATCCACCCTTCCTTTATCCCAAAAAACCCAATCCCCCAAGATCCCCCCATCCTCCCCTTTTGACTTTATTCACCCCATTTCCCCTTACCCCCATCCCACCCCACCCCCAAGTTCTCAGTTTTTGCCCGGCAATCTTGTCCACTTCCCATATCCAGGTGGATGACTATATGTTTTTCTTTGGGTTCACCTTCTTATTTAACTTCTCTAGGGCCACAAATTAAAGGCTCAATGTCCTTTATTTATGGCTAGAAACCAATTATGAGTGAGTACATTCCATGTTCATCTTTTTGGGTCTGGGTTACCTCACTCAGGATAGTCTTTTCTATTTCCATCTATTTGCATGCAAAATTCATGATGTCATTGTTTTTTACCACTGAGTATTACTCTAATATGTATATATTCCACACTTTCTTCATCTATTCTTCCACTGAAGTGCATCTAGGTTCTGGCAATTACAAATAATGCTGCTATGAACATAGTTGAACAAATGCTTTTGTCATATGATAGGGCATCTCTTGGGTATATTCCTAATAGTAGTATTACAGGGTCTTTGGGTAGGATGATCCCGAATTTCGTGAGAAATCGCCACACTGATTTCCAAAGTAGTTGCACAAGTTTGCATTCCCACCAGCAATGGATGAGTGTACCCCTACTCCACAACCTCTCCAGCAAAGGCTATCATTGATGTTTTTGATTTTAGCCTTTCTGACAGGTGTAAGATGGTATCTCAAAGTTGTTTTAATTTGCATTTCCCTGATCACCAAGGAGGATGAGCATGACCTTCAGTGTCTTTTGGCCATTTGAACTTCTTCTGTTGAGAATTCTCTGTTCAGTTCAGTGCCCCATTTTTAATTAGGTTAATTAGAGTTTTAAAGTCTAGTTTCTTGAGTTCTTTATATATTTTGGAGATCAGACCTTTGTCCTTTGCGGGGTTAGTTAAGATCTTCTCCCAGTCAGTAGGTTGCCTTTTTGTCTTAGTGACAGTGTCCTTTGCTTTGCAGAAGCTTCTTGGTTTCAGGAGGTCCCATTTGTTCAATGTTGCCCTTAATGTTTGAGCTGCTGGGGTTAAACATAGGAAGTGATCTCCTGTGCCCATATGTTGTAGAGTACTTCCCACTTTCTCTTCTATCATGTTCAGTGTGTTCAGATTGATATTGAGGTCTTTGATCCATTTGGACTTGAGTTTTGTGCATGATGATAGATATGGATCTATTTTCAATTTTCTACAGGTGACATCCAGTTATGCCAGCACCATTTGTTGAATATGCTTTCTTTCTTCCATTGTATACTTTTAGCTCCTTTATCTAAAATCAGGTGTTCATAGGATTGAGGGTTGAAATCCGGGTCTTCTATTCGATTCCATTGGTCGACTTCTCTGTTTTTATGCTAATACCAAGCTGTTTTCAATATTGTAGCTCTGTAATAGAGTTTGAAGTCAGGGATGGTAATGCCTCCAGACAATCCTTTATTGTATAAGATTGTTTTGGCTATCCTGGGTTTTTTTGTTTTTTTCCATATAAAGTTGATTAATGGCCTCTCAAGATCTGTGAAAAGTTTTGATGGGACCTTAATTGGGATTGCATTGAATCTTTAAATTGCCCTTGGTAGAATTGCCATTTTTACTATGTTGATTCTCCCTATCCAAGAGCAAGGGAGATCCTTCCATTTTCTGGTATCTTCCTCAATTTCTTTCTTCAAAGGCTTAAAGTTCTTGTCAAATGGATCCTTCACTCCTTGGTTAGAGTTACCGCAAGATATTTTATTCTATTTTTGGCTATCGTGAAAGGTGATGCTTCTGTGATTTCCCTCTCTCCTTTTATATCCTTTGTGTTTAGGAGGGCAACTGATTGTTTGCAGTTGATCTTGTATCCTGCCACGCTACTAAAGGTGTTTATCAGCTGTAGGCATTATTTGGTGGAGTTTTTGGGGTTGCTTATGTACACTATCATATCATCTGCAAATAATAAAAGTTTAACTTCTTCCTTTCCAATTCGAATCTCCTTGATCCCCTTATGTTATCTTGTTGCTATTGCTAGAACTTCAAGCACTATATTGAAGAGGTGTGGAGAGAGTGGACAACCTTGTTGTGTTCCTGATTTTAGTGGAATGGCTTTGGCTTTCTCTCCATTTGATTTGATGTTAGCTGTCGGCTTGCTGTAAATAGCTTTTATTATATTTAGGTATGACCCTTGTATCCCTAATCTCTCCAAGACCTTTATCATAAAAGGTGGTTGAATTTTGTCAAATGCTTTTTCAGCATCTAATGAAATGATCATATGGTTTTTTTCTTTCAGTTTATTTATATGATGGATTACATTGATAGATTTTCGTATGTTGAACCAGCCCTGCATCTCTCAGATGAAGCCTACTTGATCTTAATGGATAATTTTTCTAATGTGTTCTTGGATTCGGTTTGCCAGTATTTTATTGAGGATTTTCGCATTGATGTTCATGAGTGAGATTGGCCTGTAATTCTCTTTCTTGGTTGAGTCTTTGTGTGGTTTTGGTATCAGGGTAACTGTAGATTTATAAAAGGATTTTGGCAATGACTCTTCTGTTTCTATATTGTTAAATACATTAAGGAATATAGGTATTAGGTCATCTTGGAAGTACTGGTAGATTTCTGCATTGAATCCATCTGGACCTGGGCTTTTTTTTTTTTTTGGTAGGGAGGTTTTTGATAACAGCTTCTAATTCTTCGCAACTAACAGGTCTATTTAGATTGTTCACATGGTCCTTGTTTAACTTTGGTATATGGTACTTATCTAAAAAAGTGTCCATTTCTTTTACATTTTCCAGTTTTGTGGCATACAGGCTTTTGTAGTAAGATCTAATGATTCTCTGAATTTCCTCTGTTTCTGTGATTATGTCCCCCTTTTCATTTCTGATGTTGTTAATTTGTGTATTCTCTCTCCGCCGTTTGATTAGTTTGTATAGGGGTTTATCAATCCTGTTGATTTTCTTGAAGAACCAGCTTTTTGTTTCATTGATTCTTTGGATTGTTTTCTGTGTTTCTGTTTTGTTGATTTCAGGCCTCTATTTGATTATTTCCAGTCTTTTACTCCTCCTAGGTGAGTCGGCTTCTTTTTTTTCTAGAGCTCTCAGGTGTGCTGTTAAGTCTCCAGTGTGTGTTTTCTCCATTTTCTTTAAGTGGGTACTTAGTGCTATGAACTTTCCTCTTAGCACTGCTTTTCCCATAGGTTTGAGTATGTTGAGTCTCTATTTTCATTGAATTCAAGAAAGACTTTAATTTCCTTCTTTATTTCTTTCTTGATCCAGGTGTGGTTCAGTAGTTGACTGTCCAGTTTCCATGAGTTTGTAGGCTTTCTGGGGGTAGCATTGTTGTTGAATTCTAACTT